TTGCTCTCTCGTACTGGAGTGTGACTCTGGAGCATGGCGCATCGTTTCCTGTGGCGAGTTCGGCATACGCTTGTGGACAGCCGCTCAGACCTGTATTAGACTAGACTCACCAGGAAAGCCACTCGCTCGGCCAACATGTCTCGATCGTAGCTCCGTCAGCTCGGTGAGTGGACAAACACCACCATGTAGAGTATCCCCCTCAGCTACTGTATGCTGGCAATGTGGATGGGGGTATCGCCGCATACGACACTACTAGAGGGACACCGGAGGCGATTGGATCCTATGGCCATCCAGACATACTCGGGGTGGAGGAGGAGGACGAGGGAGGAGGGCTAAACTCGAGGCTCTGCTCATGACAGTATTGCAGGTACCGGTGTGGCATATTCGAGTCGTAACGTCTGAGGCAGCCTCAACTGGGCTCAGTCGAATTAATGCTACATTATCGAGGAAATTCAAACATGAGACTGAACACGATATCCTCCTCATAACTATGGCGGACTCCACAGTGAGGCATTGTTTTCATACTTCCTTAGGCCATGGCTTTCTAGATTCGTATTGTAACTGTACCTCGGGAGACTGCTGCTGACGCTAGAGACACGATCACCCTCACACTCGTTATGACACTACGAGGAGCCTCAATCGTCGACAGTATACCTCGACCAGATATGAGCCCTGATGGAAGGTGGGATGATGACCACCATCACTGTGAGTAGAGTGTGATAGGTTGGTGGTATGTGGGAGTTCCAATGGTCAACTACACCTATGGGATATAGGTCATGATGGACGACCCATCGACAAAGGTTATCTACAGGTCAATTAATGACTAGAGTGAGCCGCGTAATTCTCCTATCAGGTGGTCGTACCGGGTATCATCGCTGATGTTGTATGGTCCCGGACACATCATGTGGTCATTTGCGCACCGTAAGTGGATCAATGTATGCAAGATGTAGCAGCCGCCATAGAGCATCACCTCCTACCATGGACAACATATCGGTGCCTGGTCTCATCCTGTTGGGTTCATCCATGGCAGAGGCCAATCCCAGGACTTCCTCACCAGTCCTGTCAACGCGTTCATCACCACGCCGGGGAAACCTTATCGTAGGATTGAATGTGAGCCGGTACCCACCTGGATACCTGCTCGACCTTAGGAACCTCAGGATACGATAGATGTGGACGATGAAAACTGGCATATCAGATGGATAGAGTCGGACCATGCTCTTGGGAAGGAGGCAACTCGAATTGTGAGTCCGTTTGCAGGACATGTCCGCCTGCGTTGAATATTCGAATATGCTGATTGTCTGAAAATGCATCCAAGGAAATCGTAAACATATTCATGGATTCCAGTTGAAGACCAAAGTGCTGGAAGAAGCCCGACTGAAGCAGCGCCAGTCTCGTCCGAGGAAAAACCTAACCACGGCGTCCGTTCCGCCATAGAGCCAAATTGGCTCAGCCAATGAGGCATGTCTATTATACCCATGTGTGACTAGTGATCTCGATTGACCTCATCACAGTGCCCTCGTTGTGCTTGAGTGAGGGATGGTTGGATAGATTACGCCTTGTATTAATTAACTGCTGTCGTACCCACTCAAGCGACAGCAGCGAAGGGAATGGAATCGGACGGCACAATCGAATACAAAACAACCTGTACTTGAAATGCTAATCCAAATTAGGGATGGAGTCCATTATAATATATTCATCTTGATAACAACATTCTGCGTTGACTAGCCTCTCCCAGATAATGATGACGAAAGAGCGGTACTCGTAACTCAAGACTCATTGTTCATCCACGAAATACTTTAGGCAACTTCGAGGTATCCCGAAGTCGACAGGCCACTAGAGCTTCATCAACAGCAACGATTGGTGCATCGGTAGCCTCCATCAGAGTCAACATCGACCTTTTCGATTTCTCAAAGTACTCTTCTGCCAAACGCCATTGTCGTCCCCGAGCCAGTGATGCTGCTACTTTCGTCAGAAGAGATTCCATGAACCCCGCTCCGGACTCGACGTAGTAGCCCGGGCCGATCTCCTTCTTGAACAGCTCGGCAGCATGATCGACAACTGCTAATACATCAGCAGTCTCATTCTTGATCATTTCCGAAGAGGCATCCATATCAACGAGTTTGGATATATGAGCCTTTCGGATCATCCACACAGCAGCATGATGGACCCCCAGGATACGAGGCATTGACCGTAAATGCTGCGACAGTTCGAACTCATCGAGCTCATCAGCATTACGAGCAATATCCATTAGAGAATCCTCGAGGTCCTCTGGTACACCACATTGTTCCTGAGTAATCTGAGCTCCACAAGAACTGCACAACCACTGATATTCATCCCGTTCGACTCGATAGATAGCTCCCTTATATAGGACTCTGGAGAGATCCAAATCGGCGGGATCTATGAGTCTAACCTCAGCATCTTCAACCCAATCACCCTTCCTAGGGGAGCAACTCGGACAGGGTAATCCACGATAGTAGTCAACGCCAGTACACAGAGGACAGTCACAATAGAAGACGTAGTTGTTGAGTAGTAGTTGTCGCCTCATACAAGCCGGAGCAACAGTATCGATATAAGAAAACCGTAGCTCCGTATTGGCCGGTAAGTCCGTGAGGGCCACAAAACTGCCATCATGGGAAGCACCCCGTTGACTGGAGTAAACCACGTTAGGAGCACATGAATGTCGCATCTTACTGCCAAGTTCATAGAGAGCACATGCAGTAACGTCAGATTCGATATAAAAAGCATGAGCATTCGTGGCCTTAACCAACACGACCTTCTTCAGCTCCTCAGCACCATCATCCAATGGTAATCCAATCCAACTCCGAAGGGCTCCATCCTTGCCACGATGTAGCTCCTCCATGATTGGATCACATATCCGTATCAATGCCGACAAAAGTGGTGACTCTGATACTTCAGCTTTGCTCGGGTGATAACAATCTAATACTCTCTTACGTTCGACCAGAGACAGAGCAACATAAGCCTTGAGAAATAGGAAATCCTCGAGGACACTGAGGCCGAACCTCGATCCAAGTATTGAAGCGAACACTTCTTCACGTCGTGTAAGGTCTCTCTTCTCAGCTGAGTGGACTATTGGTTTTTCACTCCATATCAAATCCCCCATCGAAACATGAGTAGTCGTCCGCAATACCCGCCCATAAGCCTCGGTGTCCAACACCTCAACCTGACTTCGCCGGAGGAGTATGATCTTCTCTCCGTTTGGTGTTGCTGTACCTGACAACTCTATTCATACTACCTGGGTACTATATACCTCATGAAGATTAGTCAGTACAGATATCTACTAGGATCGTTAGAGTCGGTCAACACGAGGGTTACATCCTAGGCATTTCCTGGACTTAGCCTTAGACTGCCATTGCTTGTTAGAGTAATGTTCGCGACTTAATCGTTGGCCACAGCTGCTGCACACCCGGCCAGTGCCCTCTGTCATTGACACACGACTATATACTATCATATAATTATCAACTTAGAGTAACATAACCCCCTCCCTCATATGGAAACACTCTCTTGACAATAGCAGTAAGTCATAAGGTTACTCCTCATCAGCAGTATCCTCAGGCTGCAATGTGAGATCCAACGGCTCACCCATGATCCTGCTCCACATCTCAAGGACCTGCTTGACACTGGACACCAATATTCATACATTCTACTACATCCTGAGTGGCCGATTCAAAATGGCTGGTAGCATCATATGACTTCGATACGAATAGCTGATCGACCTTGCCATCGTCAGTAGGCTCATAACTAAAGATCCAGTGGCGAGCGCTATCGCATACCACTCCTCTCCCACTTTTCAGATATGGTAACGAATTTGTTTTCGATCTTCCCAAGTAGTTGCAGGGCCGGCATGATTTCCCTCTCAGGATCGTTAGTTTCAACGGTTGTGGACACCAAGGCCACGTACCTTGAATAAAGTCTATTCTCAGGAATGGTCCCGGACCAGCAAGGGTTGACGTTAGTAAGTAGCGTATATTACTTCCCTTTGAATGCAATGTTGTGAGCCCAAGAGACCATCATGACGTATACATCAGACCTAACCAACCCTATAGAGAGTCTTAGCGACTGGAGTGATACCTACCGTCGATTCAACTGCTTCTGTGGGATAATAATCTGGCAAGAGGTGGCATCATTGGTACTAGGTATTGTGTGGCCGAGGATCTGAAGTACCATAAGCATCCTCTCACCCAACCCTTACCCGGCAAACCTTACACATATACACCTGATGGTACGACCGGTACACCTAACCTTCTGTGGGAGGATATCCTTAACATAAGAGGGATCACATATCACCAACGGAGCGTGGGCAACCTAATACAATGAGTATGATGATGTAGATATCCAATGGTCCAGTGAAGTGAATACAATACCATTACTACCTCCCCTTCTGATTTAACTCCACATATCCTCCCATCTGCATCGAACTCAAACCCATCTGAGACGATAATAGCTGCAAAGCAATGATTGGTCCCAAACCCTACCGACAGGCTTATTGAGCATATATGTACCTCCATGTATTGCACTTAGACGACTAAAGCCTTCAGGTATACCACCTGAACATGAATACTACCAACAATGATACTGACTCACATCGATACCAAGGCCGTATATCGGGTAAATGAAGGGGCTCTGACCATATCTTGTAATCGAGTCGAGGTATCTACCATCGAAACGTGCCCTGTACAGATATCTATACTGTTATACTACAGTTTCATCTTCTGAATGGTAGGACCACATGGTTTAAAAAGATAACTATCATCTGGATAGAGGGCCACAGCATGACCGAAGAAGTCTATGGTATCGGGTTGTAGACCGTACTTCTCATAAACCTGTCAAAGGCGAACGATACACTACATGAGATCCATATGATGATCAAAGAGATATCCTTCTCTGTGCGGTCAAGGGTATGTCTCACTTGCATCATTGTATGCCTGTTAGCATCTATACCATCATGAGTGGATATATCCTCATCAACCCACCTAAATGGACCGTAAGCATCAGTAACGCTTTAATCAACAATCCATATCCCACCTCGCTATAAATATGAAAAAACTAGTACATCTTTTCTTCTCCATAATACCCATCAATGGTGACCTAACAATTTCCATCTCTGTCGCCGGTACCTAGGACCGGACAGGTAAGGAGTGATGACCGAGCATAGGATTACCTTGTGGATGAACTTCTCGTTAGAAAAGAGACCAGCAGGTTGATACTGGTAGACGTAAGTCCCCTCGACAGACTTCCATTCGAGATATCTAATTGGTATGAAGTCCAAATAGGATCTCTAAGTCCGAGCCATACCTGGTGACCTTAGTTTTGAGGAGTATCTTAACCAGCTGACCAGAAGCCATAACAAATTTAGGTATAAGATCGACATTCCAATCCCTATTAGAGCCATAGTCGGCTGGTGGCTTCTCACCTACACCAATCATCGCCTCTATCCTTCAAAGTAGATTGACTCGAACTACCATTACCTGGCCTAAACTTGTCCCATAGAGTGGTGAGATTGAGTGAGGCGCAATCACCACCATAGTATCCATTACGATCCAAATGGAGGACCTTCTTCCCATGGCACTGAAGGGAAGGAAGACTATCATCTCTATATTAGGTCGTAGTAATGCTACCGAGAACAGTCCAGAAAGGATACACTCCTTTAGACCGGTGCCACAGACGATGACGTCGTATTGTTCATCCATAGTTAGGAAGTTCCTGGTGCAAACTAATCAGAACCCAAGTATCGTACAAAACAGGAGCGTGTCCATCAAGAAGGCATACGTAGTGAGTTGATATTCTGTTGTACGAACCGGCAGAAATGTTCCACTCCTACTGCTGGCAAATAATAAAGGGTATATCAGTTGGGAGAAACCCAGGGCATGCCACACCGCATAGCGGAGGCAAACGTCAAACGCACATGTTGTCATTGGAGATGTTCTGCTCAGGCGTGATCACGACAAGCATAGGGGTCACATTGGATAGACCTGTAGTTATCCAATATTCCACCGAGCTAATCCTTACTGTGCCGATTGACGAATACGGTGCGAGCTAAAATTTCCTGGCCAACTGATGTGTCTTTGACGTCGGAGATCACCGCTGGCGAGTGACAATAGATGTGAGCACTACAAAGTGCTCGACAAAAGTTTACACACTTGCTCCTGACTACATTATCGATCTTCA